ATATATTATACATAGATATTATTACCTTAGCTGATAGTCAACAACGACAACGATAATCTGATAATTGCTCATGCTCATTGGAAAGAAGAATCATAATAATAATGAGAAAACTAATGCTGACAATTATTATGATGATGAGGCTATTGTTAAGGAGAATGAGAATAATAATGACAATACTAATAAATATTTATATGATAAACAATTATACTGCTAATGGTTATGATATTGCTAATGACAATCATAACAGTATCGATTATGATAATCGTAATAAAAATGACAATGATATTGAAACTCATACTGCTAATGATAATAAACAATTTAAGGCTGACAATAATGAAGGTAATAAAAGTTTTGGGGCTATAATAATAATATACAATCATTCAAGCCTCTCTCTCTCTCTCTCTCTCCCTATCTCTCTCTCTTACTCTTTACCACCCAGTAAACTAATTAGCAAATCGTTGCTCTAGTATCATCAGACCAAAACTTGCGCTTCGACTATACATACATCTGTCTACATATACATATATCTATCTAAATACCAAATACACTTTCTAATGTGGTCACATCGGGGTCGTTGGCAATTTAGACGCATTCGCATTGAGCTTAGGCTATAGAAGTCGCCAGCTAGTGGAAACATGGCAACAGCAACTAAAACAAAAAGCAAAACACAACTCGAATGGAGGCAACAGCTAAACTTAGTCAAAGATCTACAGCGTCCGATCTTGAACTAGTTAAGTAGATGCCCAAGTTTGCTACCATTTGTATATATTCAGTTAGGCCTAACACATTAGCGCTGTGGCAAATCCCAACTAGACTGTGAAAAAACAAATGTAATGCAAACTTTGCTCAACTTTGGAGTCGTCGTAACCTCGCTTTGCATCTGCCTAGCTATCCATCCATATGGGTGAGTGGATGAGTTGGCCCATTGCGTGTAGCTCGGCAAACAGGTTAAGTAGTCATAAAAATCATCAGCCCCCAGACGAAATCGTGTTAATTAATGCCAAAAATTTGATGAACTTTGTCGAAGAAAGGGTTATTGCCGAGACTGATGGACTAGGTAGTACCCTGTAAATGGAATTAAAGTAATTTTGAAGCGTATTTAGTTTTACCTGGTGTAATATGTGTCGAGATCTCTATCTCAGGGAGTAATTGATATATTTTTTTTATAGAGAAAGGAAGGTAGATATCAAAACTGGATCGATAACGATATTTATCGAAAATACAAAATGCTGCGTATCGATTATTCATTAAATCTAAGGTATCGGGAAGAGGATTTATAGGTTAATTTAGGTATAAGTCTCTACTTTTCATCCACTCTGCGTTAAGTTTTTGCTTATCGATAACCTTCTGGAGCTATCTAATGGAGTTTTCTCAGCTTTTATGCTTTCTCTCTCACTCCATCTCTCTCTCATCCACCTCTCTCTATCTTTCTCTCTCTCTCTCTCTCTCTCTCTCTCTCTCTCTGCTATGTATACCCTTCCATCCAACGTCTGCCAGGGTAGAGGCAAAACAAAACAACGAATTTCTACGAAATTCGGCTCCTCTGTAAATTGTTAACTTTGTACTTGAAGTAAGCGTTGTTGCTTTGTCTCTTCCCCTCTCTCTCTACCTCGCTCGGTCTCTTTCTCTTGCTGTCTCTTTTATTTTATTATTGCTATGTATTTTGCAATAAGCAAACACTTGCGGGTTCTGTTGTTGATTTTGTTGTTCTGCCAGCTTTTTGACGATTTTGTGGCTCATATACGTAGATTGTTTTCCGAGTAACTTGGAGCCGGTTTTGTTTATAACTTGTTGTTGTCATTGTTGTTGTTATTGTCGACCTACGGTCTCTCACATACTGTCTATATATAAATTTTTGTTTTTATTATTTATTTTGTTAGCACAGTCAAACACTTGCATCGCGTCATAGTTTCTAAATTGTGGCTTAAAGTTGAGTAAGCCGCTTGCCAAGTAACAAATCGTTTTCGAAAATTTGTTAGCCCAGAACTTTGGCAGCTCAAGTGTGCGGGCGTGACCCACTGTGCGTGTGGGCCGAACTAGTTCCAGTTCTCAGTTCTCACTTGATTTAGGCTCTAATATAAATATAACGTCTACGACTTACATTTGACACTTTTCTATGTTTTCCAGCATATATTTGGAAACTGTTTTGCATTCAAAATAGGCTTTATGTTTGCTTTTGTTTTTCTCTATTTCGTCTTTGAATTTAGATTGATGATATCATTC